GCAATGCAATAGAAGAAGAAGAAATCAGAAAAAATATACCATTCGATATAGCACGGAAAAAGTTAAAGTACCTAGGGATAAATTTAACCAAAGCCACAAAAGACCTGTATGCAGAAAACTATACAACATTGAAAAAAGAAATTAAGGAAGACACAAATAAATGGAAGCATAGACCGTGCTCATGGGTTGGAAGAATTAATATCCTCAAAATGTCCATACTACCCAAAGCAATTTATAGATTCAATGCAATCCCTATTAAGATACCAATGACGTATTTCACAGAAATAGAACAGACATTTCAAAAATTTATATGGAACCATAAATGACCCCGAATAGCTGCAGCAATTTTGAGAAAGAAACACAAAGTAGGAGGGATCACAATACCGGACATGAAACTGTACTACAAAGCCACCATACTCAAAACAATCTGGTACTGGCACAAGAACAGACCCATAGACCAGTGGAACAGAATAGAAAGCCCAGAAATAAGCCCAGGTCTCTATGGACATCTAATATTCGACAAAGGGGGCAGAAGCATAAAATGGAGCAATAACAGCCTCTTCAACAAATGGTGTTGGGAGAGCTGGACGGCTACATGCAAAAAATTGGAATTGGATCATCAGCTGACACCATACACAAAAATAAACTCAAGATGGATAAAAGACTTAAATAGAAGTTGCAACACCATCAAAGTCCTAGAGGAGAACAGTGGCAGGAAACTCTCAGATACCCCACGCAGCAATTTTTTCACTGATATGTCTCCTAAAGGACGGGACATAAAGGAAAGAATAAACAAGTAGGTCCTCATCAAAATAAGAAGCTTCTGCACGGCGAAAGAAAACATCAGCAAAATGAAAAGGGAGCCAACCGTATGGGAAAATATGTTTGCTAATGATACATCAGATAGAGGTTTGATCTCCAAGATATATAAAGAACTCACTGGACTCCACTCCAAGAAGATAAATGATCCAATTAAAAAATTGACAAAGGACCTGGGCAGATGCTTTTCTAAGGAGGAGATACAGAGGGCCCAGAGGCATTTGAAAGGATGCTCAGCATCACTAGACATCAGAGAAATGCAGATCAAAACCACCATGAGGTACCACCTCACACCGGTCAGAATGGCCATCAGAAACAGATCCACAAACAACAGGTGCTGGCGAGGCTGTGGAGAAAAGGGAACCCTAGTCCACTGTTGGTGGGAATGCAGACTGGTGCAGCCACTATGGAAAACAGTGTGGAATTTCCTCAAAAAGCTGAAAATGGAACTGCCTTTTGATCCAGCGATTCCCCTGCTGGGACTATACCCTGAGAACACCAAAACGCCAATACAAAAGAACCTATGCACCCCAATGTTCATAGCAGCACAATTTACAAATACAAGTGTTGGAAGCAACCTAAATGCCCATCAGTAGATGATTGGATCAAAAATTATGGTACATATACACAATGGAATACTCTGCAGCAGAAAGAGAAAAAGAAGTACTAAACTTTGCGACAGCATGGATGGAACTGGAGAGCATCATGCTAAGCGAAATAAGCCAGGGGGCGAAAGACAAATACCATATGATCTCACCTATAAGCGGAACCTAACCAAATGCAAAGATGCAAGGAAAATATGACCAGCAACACTGAAAGGAAAAGAAATCAACAGAGACAAGAGGGAAGGGGGGGCAGGGAAAGGGAAGGGAAGGGAAACGTCAAGGAACATATAGCAAGGACTCATGGACAAAACCAAAGGGGAAGAGCTGAGGGAGGGAAGGTGGGAGGGGGCAAGGGAAAGAGGTGGGGGGGAGGCAGAGACAAATGTATTTAAAGAGTGAATAAATTAAAAAAAATAAAAAATATTAAAAAAATAAATAAAATATTATTTAAGCACTTTCTTAGTCTGTTATTATTCAAAGGTAATTCCTGGAATTACCTTTCTCTAAGTCCCCTAACAATATCTGGATCTACACATTTTTATTTTTATCACAGGGACATTTCTCCTGGGTATAGAGAATAGAGAATGACAATAGAGTGTGTGGCTGCATGTGTGACACTCCTTGGCCACTTTTCATGAATGGTTTGGGTACTCCTCTGGCCCCACAATCTCATCCCAATGACTCTTGAGGACCCAAGCACCTTTAGGGTCTAGAATACTTCTGATGGTATTTATCAGGAGAAAGGAGTTGCTTATTACAGTGCTCTCTAACATTGGCTGGTGGTCAGTGTACAGTAAACACTTGCTTGATATTCAGTGAGGTTCTGTATACAATCCAAATTGAGGTGTGGCTGTTAACACAAATGCCTCATTTATTAGCACCTCTGTCTGGAGACCCAAATTGCGACCATCAGTTGCCTGCATTCATGTGGGTACAGGCTTTCCAAGTATAACAGCCCCATAGATTTCTTTAACATAGGACCTTGTGAATAGAAATTGAGAAAAACCACAACACTTTGAATGAACTACACATACATTTATTAAATAGTTATCAAAAGCGCACATATATAGTCTCTTAGCTGCCAATTTCCCCAACAAAGAATCATTCAGCTCTTCAGATCATGAAGGCTAAAGCAAAGTCTCAGTCCTGATATTCTTTCCTACTCTCTTCTTGCGAACTACATTGATCCTCAATGTGTTGGCCATCATCTTTTGTAACCGTCACATCTCTAGAAATATGCTGACTGAAGAGACTCTTCAGATTCCTTTTGCATTCTCTCAAGTCCAGTTGTTAATGAACAGGCTGCTTGCTTTAAAAGGTGCTGTTGTTACTGCTTGCTGCTTTTCATCTACTGTTACTCTGATTTTTTCACCAATCTGTTTGCACTTGTAAATGCATGCAATGCTCTGAATCACTTACAGGGAGAAATCTCTTTCCTTCATTAGGAAAACCTATGATTTACCTTGCACCTGTTATCCTGTCTGCCTCTGCACTTCACTCTGTTTTCATGCACAACACCAAAATTCTGGGCTACACTATCAGGAACTTCCTTATACTGATTTTTGCATCTACTTCAGAATGTTGTGCTTTTTTTGCTTTTGGCATTGATTTGTAAAGACAGAAATCAGACCTCCTGTTTCTCTCCCAAACCTCACCCTTATATCTGGGTGGCTTCCCTTTTTATCATTTGAACTCTTGTCTTTTATTTCCCAGACTCTCACTGTCCTCCTGACTAAGGGAGAAGTGTAAGTCCAGGCACTAAAAGGAAAACCTGGGAAAGCTAAATTAAGTGGATATTTCTAGTACAGAAAAGAGCCAAGTAAAAATTCAGAGTATGTGTGTCCATCTTTTTAATATTAGCAAGTATAAGCATTAGTCTACTCCAGAAATGTGATCATGTATCACGACTATCATTGTGCCATGCTTTCTACTACAGATGCTGACCATGTGAGTGGATTCTAGTCTGTGGAATTTTGTGATATTCACTATTTTAGACTCATGATTATATCAGAACTTTCCTGACAATAACAAAAGGACAAGTATTCTTTTTTAGGCATTCTTGAGGGAGTAAATGACTGCATCACTCATCCATAGGAGTTCAAGTGCTAGTGATTTGCTTCAGTAAAACATATCTCCCTCATCTAAATATGTGGCTGTCTGATAGTTAATCACTGGAGAGTTATGCTTTTTAAAATACAAACACTCCCATGAGTGGCAGCACATTAAGCATTGTCAGTCTTTAATGTACTGTGAGTTATATTTTAGGTCCCAGCTATGAGCTGCTCTCCATAGAGTGAGATGCCCAATAGGAAAGTTCTGAAGGAGAAAAGTCCAGATCTACCTGGGAAAGCAAGCCTAAGTTGCTACTGTGAGGCTTCTAGAGGGCTGGAAGCCACCCAGTCCTCTAGATGATGATGGGAAAAGAGTTTGAAAAGTGTCAAGGTAAACTTGGTTTACATCTGGTTTCGCCTGTGGGTCAACATTCTTCTGCCCAAAAGAAACTCCATTTTCATAATCAGGAAACCTGCTCTGAATTCTTAGCTATCATTCAGCAGCTCAAAGAGAAAGACATAAACTGAATTCTGAAGAGGCCAAACACCTCTTGTAAATGTCTATATACTGAATTGGTTTTAGTGCTGGGATTATCACAGACTCACAGAAATGCACATAACAACACATCAAAGGGCTCAAATTTGGCTTATCAAAAATGCCACAGTGGGAATCACACTTGGAAACAGTAGAGCATGAGAGGCAAGGGAACTAGTGGCTTTGAATGATTCAGCTGATATTGGACAGGGACCCAACTTCCTCCCTGCACTTTTTCAGTTATAGATCCATGAACAATAATACTTTATTCTGTCACAACCTCTTATCCAAAGCTTTTCACTACAGTTTTGTATCAGCTTCAATACTGAATGGTAGCCAATGAAAATTTCACAATTCACAATAAAGTGTTTTTAATTATTTAGAAATCTGACAGAATAAAGTATTACCGAATTACCTTTTGCTTTCTTAAAAACCAAAAATAATTATCTTTTTATTCCTGTGTCATCGATGGGACAAGACCGATTTTACATGAGAAAAAACATTTTAATGGAAAAATCCACACATCCCATTGTTATAAAACCATTGCTGCCCATCTTGATCCGAATAAAATGAATAGCACTAGTTTCACATGTTGCATTTAAGACGCAGGGTAGAAATGAATAACTGGAAAATACAAGCTTCTAATATATCTTAGAATATGCCTCAATTTCTGAAGCACAATTGAAACCAGTAAGTATTATCTCAAAACTTTTAATCTTTTAGTAAAATATGTGTCTTCCTTGTGTTAATAGTATCACTATCGTAGAAATAATACATCTAATACAATAGATGTATTATCTATGTAATTTTAAATACTGAAGGTATATTTGGAAACAGACTTATTCCATGTATGAAATATAACATTGAACCAAATCACAAACTTAAATTTATATTAGAACTACTAAATATTATGATTAATATCCTAAAACATTAATAGCTTTTAAGCAAACTCCTGATGTGTGAAATGGATTCATAAAAAAGCCATAACCATGAAATTTAACATTTTATTAAAAGATCAAAAATAGACATAGTAATAGCATACTAAAATGAATTACATAATGCACACTTTTAAACATGAACAAGCAGTACAGCACAATAACTTGAAAAAACATAAAAATCAAGGCATGTGCCCTATTGATAGCAGTTGAAGGAATGAACTATTGCATTTTGGAGGCAAAATATTATGGGAAGTTTATATTCTGAAATATTGTGGTCAAAATCTATAATTGTTGCACAAGGCTAATAATTTCCTTATCTATAGGTATTTTCAAATTAAAATTTTCTTCCTAAAGTATTTCTATCTTCTACATTATCCTGGATTGTTATTATATAAATGTGGAGAGTTAGCCCTTAAAAAAGACTACATTTAAGAACATCTTTTAAAAATATCTTAATTTAAATTATTGTAATTAGTGGACATGATAACAAATGGTTCATTTTCTAATAATTAAAGCAACAAAAACCATTAAACAAAATTTATTCTGAAAAAGGGTAACCCCAGAATCCAATGATATGAGTTACATCATTCTCTCAACTGCCAGACACAAAAGACAGCAACAAAATAATTTGGTTTCCATTAACAAATAGCATTTGTATACAGAAATAAAGCTTTGAAACCATGCAGTTCTATGACAGATAAATATTTAGGTTGTGTGTTTTGGCAGAGAAAAGGAGCACTGCTTAAAATGGTGTTACTTTTAGGTCTTGTTACGGAGGTATTTTATTAAACTAATATGATGTAGAAGATGACTAGTGAGAATTTTTGCAGTATCTGCAAATAGTGGTGACTTACTTCATAGCGATACATTTTTTTCTTTTAGGTATAGCACTATAATTAAGGATAGGTTCTATCTGAAGATAACATTCCTCTGGAAGAATCTTGTTTTAGATTATTAAATGGTGGTTCTCTTCCAGGTAAGGACAAGTGGAGAAGCTGGAAACTGTTTTAATTGGTCAACTAAACCTTTTCCTGGTCTTAATAACAGAGGTTCTCTTTTGGCCTCAAGTTATTCACATTCTGTTATACTTCATTTTCCAATTTTACTTATTTAAACACAACCACTGTGTTTAAGCTCCAAAGAGTGTGATCCAGTGGCCATCAGCAGGCACAACATGCCATAAATAATTTGGATATCTAGGTTCATTCTTACTATTTTAAAGATGATTTTTTTCCTGACTTAAAATTTTACCATGTTTTTATTGACCTTATGAAAATGTATTCTTGTAGCTATACATTCACAAGGCCATGTTGGAGAGTATATTGTTGATAAGATTAAAGTTGGAGTTCTTAAGTACAGGATAAGTGAATGCTTACATTTTATATCAATGAAAATGCTGGTCAGATGGTCAGATGATGGTTTGATGTATGGTTGACTCTAAGTGATATGGGCTGAAGGGGAAAAAAGTTCTAACCAATTGGCCCTGAGCTATTGGAGAACTAAGTGTAAGGCTTGGATTGCTTTCTAGCTTTGGTTTAGTTTCCTGTGTCTGTAAGTGAAAAATATCAAAATAGGTAGCAATACTAATAACTCCCTCGACCCCAAGATGGGCTCTTTCTCCAGGGCAAGGACAAGTCCCAAGATGTGAAGGACTCAAAGTACCTGTGGTGATCTATCCTTAAACCTTTCTAACCCCGACCTTTTGTAGACCTAATTGGAGGCAACAAAAATTAAAGGGTGATCTGTTGGTAATGTAGGAGCTGAAATTGGCAGAGTTGTTCTCATTGAAATATCCTTTTCCAGCTCCTATATATGTAAGATTTCGGCTGATTCTCTTCTGCTTATTTAAAAACAGTTAAAGGTGGAAGTGGCACCATGAAGTACTTTGTAACCTGCTAAAGGTTAAGTCAGAAAACAGCTTCCAGTGAACAAGTATCAGGTAAATAGAGTCATTTATAAAGTTGTGGCAGGAGCCTTTTTTCCTTTGTTGAAGGGAAAGAAATGTCCCATGACAGTCATACTAAACTATTAAATTAAATCTTTCAATGGTTGCCAATTTGGTTTCAGGTTTTGGATCTTGAAGGGGAAATAATGGTAAACATTGACAATTCGACTGCCACTTAAGTAGATTTTAATTTATGTAACTGATATATATCAATTGATAATTTTCTGTGAAAGATGCAATCAAATTTGATAATAATGGGCATATCCATTTTGGAATTTACAAGATGTCGTTACTTGCAACCATTGGAAAAAACCTCAGCTAGAAAGAAACCTGCCTGGTGTGTGCGTGCGTGTGTGTGTGAGAGAGAGATATTACAAAGAGGATTAATTTAAAAAGCAAACAATCTTTGCTAGTGGTCTTGCTAAAAGATAAAGTAGTTTTATTCTTGTTCAGTGCTGCTAGCTGAAGATGAGCTGTTACCTTTTACCAGTCCACTCTTTTGGTCAGCTGTAGCAAACTAGAAAGCCTCCAAAACAGCAAAGCAATATCATGTTTAGTTAAGTCTTATAGCAAATAAACCCCTCCATCTCAAAACCTTAGAAATAACTCTCTCTTACTTACTTTTCCACTATTCTCACAGACTTATTGTATTTTTAAAAAGCTCCAAGAATTGCTTTCATGGACTATGTACATAAGTGCAAAAAAGGTGTGTCTCACACATTCGCACCCTAACTGAGACAATCAGTTAACTGCAGCATATGTCTCTTAAACACTGTTAAGGGGTCATTCCACAGTATTTTCATACATGGTTTCACAAATGCATTAATTTCATAATATGTTTTCACCATTCCTTAATCCTTATTTGGATATATTTGTGTAAGTATGTAATTCCATAAATGAGAATGTTTGCAGCTACAACTATGCCACTTAAATAATTTTGAATAAATGAAGCTATGAAAAAAGATCAGGTAATGTATTATAAATACCACAATTGTGTTTTGAAGTCTAAATACTGTGGAATAACCCTATCCACACAAGAAATTCTATAAGCTATAAAGCCTGATTCTAGAAACCATGTCTTGTAAACTTTTTGATGAAAAAGTCACACAAGGAAACACATTAAGCTTCCACGTGGAAATCTGGGATAAAAAATAAATCAACCATATATATTTTCTGAGATTTGAGATGTATCTTCTACGTGCTCATACTGTTAAAACCATGTATAGTGTACAAGTAAAACTTTCACCAAAAAGGTGTCTTAAGGTAGCCATGTTGTAGTTTTGTTGCTAAAGCAACGACTAAATATAATTAGTTAAAATTATTATTTGTATATAAAGTTAAGTTTGTTCTTAAACTGTGAACTGTAAAGAATAGTTATGTATTACAATCTATATCTTATCATGCTTCAGTGTCAGTTTAGAACCTATCAAACCGGGTTGAATATATATACATGTAGTAAAATCTTAAACTTTCTCTAACTCTCCTTCAAAAGTAAATTCATTAGTTACTTAGAGATATATAAAAACTAATAAAATCAAAATTTTAAAAAATAACAAGAAGAATAAAGACCTGGCACCAATTAGCAAGTTGGTCCTAAGAACTTTAATTTGTCATTATGTTTACAGTTTGATTAGGTTATCAACTAAATTTGCAAAAAAGTTATATCCTTTTACATACTATTTATTCTACTGCCTTTAACAGGCACTGGTAACATAAAAAATTAGGGCATTATTTTTCTAAGTCTATTCAACAGAATTGGGAAATCATATTTCCCTACTTCTATTTCAATGTGTGAGAAATGTAAAAGAGATAAAAAAAATAAAAGAGGATTCCAGTTTCTAACCTGTCTGTGCATAACAGCCTACCTTACAGATTAAAATAACTCAGAAATCTTGCAGCTGCATTTTACCTAAGAGCATCCTCATCTACTTTCTCCAAAGGAACAGGGAAAGAATCGAATAACATTCCAGGTAGCACACAGGTCTTCTTTACATGTTATTTAACAAAATTTACTGCCAATGTTGTCTTTATTTAAACACTACTGTGCTTATTGGTCATGCCATTAAAAATAGAGTCAAGTTGTAAAGGTTTGTCTTATTCAGTTCCTGCTGGGGGTAGTGAGGAGATACTTGCTTTTCTCCAAATTGGAGAGCTCTTAAGGCTGTCAATTAGTGAACACAGCCTAGTGGTGTAGGACAACAACTTTGGCAAGATAGAAGTACTTTAAAACATGTTCAAAAACAAATGGAGGAGATTTATGGAATTGGGAGAAGATGGCTTTTCCTATCACAATCAACTGCAAATTACAGACTAATCTAGGCAAGTGAAATGAAATGCAATAGCTGGTTGCAGAATCATGCTCCATTTACAAAAGCAAATACTGTATTTAAATAGAAATTTTATGAATCCATTTAATCTTAATCTCTACACTTATGGTCACAGTGCTTTTAAAAAATTGACACTACTGAAGCCCTCCTAAAAGATAAATTTTGGATTATTTTCTCTGTGTACATGACTTATTTTGTCTAAGTTTCAGCACTCTTGTATATTTTTGCAAAAGGGTAAGAGAAATAAATGGAAACAATTTTGGATAAGTAAAAATAGAGGCCCTTGCAAATTACAAAGCTTATAAAATGTTAACTAAGAATCACAGATGATTAGAATTTTATATATACAGTTCATTCAGTAAATTATTGTTTAGAGTCACTGATTAGTTTTGTGACTTCTCTTTTTACCTGAAAATATATAGTCTAATGACTAATCTTTTCTTGAATAAAGATAAGTTGAACAAGCCATTGCACAACTAGTTTCAAGAATGCTATCTTAAGATTGCATTTATGTCAAAATTCTTTTGCATTTGCATTAAAACTTTAGTGCTTTGACTTTTCTTTCTTTAAACTCCTTTATAAAGCAATTTTTAAATGCTAACAACATCAAAACTTATGGCACCAAAAATTCAACTACCCTGAATATTCCTCACCAAACCTTTTACTAAAAAAAATGTCTTCCAGTGCTTAAAGTAACATGAAAATAACTGCACTCTAGGTTTACTGTCTAAGTACATCTTCATCAGAAGTTTAAAAAGTGAAATGAGACAGTATGTTGCATCAAAATGTCAAATTACATAAAACGTTCATTATGCCCCAAAAACATCTCTATCTCCTTTAGGAATACATCCAGACTAGCTCAGGTACAGTGTTCCTGGAGTTCTGTGATCAGATTTGCCCTTCTGCAGAGGCACTGACACAGAATATACGAAATTCAGTTCCAAACACAGGTAATTTCACAAAAGTGTACTCTCTCTTCTTCTCTGACAATGTTAATATTTGAGGAAAGATACATTAAGTGGTTCAAAGACAATAGGTAGAAGTTAGGACACCTCTTGCTCTTTAAGTCCAGGCAATACTGTTAGCAGATGGTAATGGTTCCATAAGAGCAAACCCATTTAGAAATCACTGATGATCATGACTTGGATTGGTAATTAAAATAAAGAGGATATCATCAACTATTAAAGAGCTAATTTTGATCTTTTGTATTCTGAGCCAAATTGATCTGCTTTGGGATAGAGTTCCAAATGTTCTGAAGCACAAACAATGTGTACCAGAGGAACAACTGGGAGTTAGGAGATTTTTCTGAGTCTGACTGTCTGCAAAAAAGTTAGGTAACCCCAGGCAAGTCTCATGCCCTGAGCCTCAGTTTCATCAACTGTGAAAAGGTTTTACCAACTCCATTGTTCTGTGAATTCAAGCATACTAGCCTGCTTAAGATATCCATCAGATTTTGTCATTTTCATGAAGTAGAAAACAAATCTGTTATAAACATCAAACTTGATGATTTCACACTTACCAGTTAGAGAATATCTATTTAGTAGAAAATATTAAATCTAAATTGATGCAAACTATCATATGGTTCCACCACTATATAATAATAGTAACTTTAATGACTGAGTAAAGAGGAGGAGGTATGCTATATAAAATAAGAATTAATTACTATTTTACTTGGTTAAAATTATTTCATAAGAATTAGTAATGTGAATTTAGCTCAGCTCTGTGAAGTACAGCCAATCTGGCTCATCTAAAGGGTCTTAAAAATCTCTATTATAATTTCCAAATACATATAAAATACAAATCCAAATCAACACTGGTTATGATGAGAGAGGCTCTGTTGTTAATAAAGTTTGGGGTGGGCCACACTTGACATATATCACCAGCTCTTGCTCCTTTACTGAAGTGTTTAACAAAACTGAAAACTCAGCCGAACCGGAGCTAAAGCCAACTGTGGACATCCTTCCTAGAACTGTTAAATAAATCAAAGACTAATTTTAAATGTCTTCCTATCCTCCTCCCCATCCTCTGCCATTTCTCCAAACCTATTCTCAGGCTCCAATTGTGGTCAAAGAAAAGTTTGTCCATTTGCGGAGGAAAGGCCTCACTTGGAACCAATTCTCTTTCACCCTGACTGATTTTGCTAGATTACATCTTACTTATTATTCAGAATAGTCTAAATAGCATGAGACATTTTCATTCAGAAATGGCTCTTGTGTAAAAGGTTACATTGCAATGGTTTTTACAGGCTTTCCTCCAATATATAAAAAGTATCTCCATGTCCCCATCTCCCTGTTTAATTTATAACCTGTAATACGCATACCTTTAGGCCTCCAAGTACCAATTTTCCAGCCAAGGATGATAAAAGGCTGTTTTAGGCACTCAACCTAGGAGATAGGATCCTTGAACCACAAAAATGTAATGGGCACTTTACATATTTCTTAGTATAAATGCTGAGAAATGTATTTAAAGATAAATTCTAGTTTTCCAAGATGTTTAAGAAGTGAAATTAGGGATTAATGTTGTAAGAAGTTCCCTATTTTTGGCAGGTAATTATGTCTCTCAGAAATAATCTACTAATGAATCTACTAATATAATCATATTATGCACGGTCAGATTTGCAGACATAAATTATTTACATGCATGTCTATGAACAGGTTTTGTGAACACTCAAAAGTGAGATCTTTTAAATGACTGCCCCGAGAATCCTACAGAAATATTCTAGACAGAGAGAGCATATTAACATTAACCTGTCATATTTTATAAACACACATATTTTTGTTTACCATTAGTAACATTTTAGCTGAAACCAAAAACCACACATATTACAGCAAAACCCCGCAGTATGTAAAAGCCTAACACAAGCAATATACCACAATACAGTACAATACAATAATGGGGAAATTGTCTTTGGATATAATTTTTACCTTTTAAAATCAACCCAATAGGCCACTGTGTAAATAAAACAGTAAGGTAACACTTCAAAACCATTAAACATTTACCCACTAAGAAGCACAGTAAGCCAAAAATTCATCATAGAGATTCACGCAGCATTATAGTTATTAGAAAATCACAAAGAATAGTGTGACAAATTATAAAATTTTATGGCAGTGTTCTCTACCTAATAATTCAAATAAGTAGATAGTAGATAGTTTTCTATTCATTTTGTTTTAACATCTCCATTGATTGTTTAATGTTTTGTATTTTATTTAAATTTTTTGGTTCGTAGTTTTGTTTTGTTTACTATATTGACTGCACCATGTTTATTGTTGTGTTGGTAGAAGAGGACATACAAGACTATATATAGAAAGGCCATATGGAGGTTCTGATGGAGAGATTCTGATATGCCATAACTCTTTGTTCAGAATTTCAACTGAAATGCAAAAAAAAAAAAAAAAGAGTGAGAAATATTTAAGGGTTATTCAAGCAGGGGTCAGGATACTCAGTTCTTGTTCCAGTTTTTTATGTGAACTATGGCAACATACTCCCTATTCTGAATTTCCTATTCAACATCTGTAAAAATTGGGCTGTTGGAGATAGTCTCTAAAGAGTCATGTACCATGATAGTATATGGTTCTCATTGAGTACTAATATGCAGAATTGTCCCAAGGTAACAAAGATGTACTCAATTGTTTAATGTATTATCTACACAATGCGAAAACTTTAGGATGAACATCCACCCATTCATCCATTTCCTTCAAAAAGCATATTAAAAAATGCTTATAACTGAAACTAATAGAAGTAATATTGAATGTCAAGTGTAATTGAAAAATAAAAGAAAAAACACGTTTGATGCTAAACATTTGAAATATGCAGATATTAAATAAACTTGAAACATTTTATCTGAATGTATTGGTGCCTAAGCGTGAAATCTAGGTACTATATTGTATTTTACAAAATTATATTTTTGTGAACCTTGGAGAAATTTTCAATATCTCTTACATATTAAAATGATTATGATGTGCTAAATACCTCTACATTTTCTAATGGAATCAAACAAAAAAGAATCACTATCCCCAAACGTTTTGTTAGGAAGTTAATTCGACAAGTTTGTTTACCTTGATGTGAAGCAACACATGAGAATCAGAGAAGTGTTTGAAAACCCACAGTCTCATATTTGGTGCCATTCCCAAGCTACCACTATCCTAAATGATACCCCTGAAAATTACTACAATTCACAGCTACTTCAGTTATTCCATGTACTCAAAGGTATCTTTTAAAAACATCTTTTTATGATTGAAGGGACCTATTTACCTAATGTACAGTCAGCTAATTGTCCAAAACAGTTAGTATTCTGGGCTTGTGTGTCCTCAGCAGGAAAGAAATAAGAGCCAGGTTCTGGAAAACTAGTCCATCAAGAGAGTAGGATTCTTGCCTCCTTCAACCAAATGACACCCTCTGATTGTGAGAACCTCAAGCTTTCAATGACTAATGTATGCAATTCAGAATTAATCACTTGTTTAATAAGTCCCTATAATTAATTAATTAATTAATTAATTAAGATGCACAGGAGAGGAGTCTTAAGTGGCTTCAAAAGTTACATGCTCCAGGTGAACCGTTGTTCAAATTAAGTGTGTGCTATTACAGGCTCTCAGCCAAAGAGGAGATCAAAGGTAAACAGGGTAAAAATCCAACAACAGAAACAAAAATTACATGAAAAAAGCCATGATATGAATTGAAATAATGATTAAATTGCTAAATTATGTCACTCAAAATTTGAAACAGCTAGAGCAATTCTGATAGACTTACATGGGAAGCAATGCAAAGTGGCAGACTGTAAAAACATTATTTTCTAAAATGAAAGAGGGAAGCACATTTCTTACTGTTTTTAAGATAACCATCTCAGTCAAATTGTGACAAAATTTGCTTAAATTTAATTTTAAAAAGAAGCTAGAAAAATGTTAAAGGATTAAAATTGAGACGTGATCTCTGTATTTGGCTAACAAATCATACCATAATAGGAAAAATTTCAGAATTTGTAAGCGCATTGGGAAAATATACTATTAGCTCTCATTTTCATACAAAAATTGCATATTTGCTGTATACCTTACAATTTTGAAAGTTTAGAATGCTTTAAATCAAGCTCTAGGTTATAAGCAATGTCTACTATTGAAACTATTTACCAAAGCTTTAGCAAATCCAATTGTGTAAATAAAAGATATTACTTATGAATATTATTTATATTAATACTTGAAGAAACTTACTGTTCTACTGGTGACTTCTACATCTGTGAAACAAACATGCTGCTATTCAGTTCATCTATTGATAATGGGGGTATCTATAGTAGTAAAAAAGATTTTAGATTAAAATAGTTTCTTGAGAGAATTATTTATTTTGTTCACTGCTTGGACATGTAATCAATTCACAGGAAAATTTAAACATATTAATTGTATCCACTAATAGTTTTGCTAAGCACAGGTTAGAATGTGATTCTTTTTCCCAATTAATTAATGCTTTGTGCGCTATATGGTTATCATACTCGTAATTGAAACAGCAGTGGAACTTGCAGTCTTTAAGCATGGTTACCACTTTAAGCAGTCAAAGTAGACACAATGTTGCACAATAACTATTTATGTGTCTCCTTACAGTTTCAAGACTTCTCCCAAATTTATCATTTGCCCTGTGACCTTGCTTATAAATACCTAAAGGAATGAACATCAAAACAGCACAAGCACTAATGTCAGTATGAGAAGAAATTTCTGACATAATTACTGGATAATTATAGGGATATCTGTGCCTTGGAAAGAAATGTGTTAACATTCTTTCCAGTAGAAGTGAAATTTTAAACACAATAACAAAAAGTGGTAGTAAAGTAAAACAAATTCACTTCTTGACCAGTAAGGAAGCATTTAAGAAACATATAGTATATCCTTTTAATGATTGGTGGAGTAGCAACAATTGTATATATAGAATATCAAGAGAGACATCTGGTAACTGATTGAAAATGAGAAAACTCTGCTAATTCAGGATAACTAGCAAAGTAGATACATCCCTCTAGAACAGTGATTTTCAAACTTTTTCATCTTATGGCACACATAAACTAATTAATAAAATTCTGTGGCACACCAAATATGTTATATTTTTTTCAATATGACAAAAATTAGGTAGAGTTTTGATTCATTCACACCAGATGGCTATTGTTGTGTTGGCTGCTGTCATTTTCTACTTTGAAATCTAAGGGAGAATAGGTTATTGCTCATGACTAGTCAGGTATTGCATGTTTTGAAAATTTTTTGCAGCACACAGGTTGAAAATCACTGCTCTAGAATAAACACAAGAATAAAAATTCCAAATGTAGCAACTACTTAGGAAACACATAAGAATATGGACCAATGCCTCTCACCAATCCAAAAAGCATATACTGTTTGTCACGAATACACTGTAGTTATCTAGGTGAAATAAACTGCCAAACCTGATTGCCTGTAGCTGTTGCAGCAAAGGGAACGCTGGTGGCAGGTGTAGTTGCTGCAGACACAGTGGTAGGTGTAGCACCGTGCATCATGGGCACTTTCAGTAGGAAACCATGGAAGCAACACGTGGGAATGTGAACCATTTATGCAACCATGACATAAACGATGATATGCGGTATCGTAGGTATCACAGCAGTAATCCATGTGACATCATCATGATGGATATACCAGGGTGCAACATGCAATCACAGTCAGTACAAAGCAACACAGCACAGAATGGGGGAAAATTTAAAAAGAGAAAAGGGAAAACAATTATAGTTTACATTAAGAAAAATGAAATTATTCTCAACATTTAGTTTTTGAGTAGAATCACATTTTATTTTAATTAAAAGGCCAAATTTCCAGAAGGGTTTACACTAGTTGCATATGGAAAAATGTAATGTTAGCAAGGCTATTTTTATCAATAGCTAGTTAAGCAGACAAGTAACTGTGTTGCACACTCAAAATGGGAGTAGGGAACTGTGAGTTGGTTTTTGGGTTCACTAACTTATAGACATGAGTGCTGTCACTAGATTTGCAGGTTCAAAGGGACAGTTATATGTATACTTACATGATCTACATGCAAAAAGATGGTAGGTCAGTTGGTGGATATATGGTAAGGAAGCAGGTATGAAGAATATAATGGCCTACACATGCAGGTTTTTAAGTACACTTCTGGCAAACCCCTTGAAACTTAGGTTATTTAAGGTTTGTTTAATCACTTGCTTAATAAGTCCCTGTAATTAATTAATTAATTAATTAATTAATTAAGATATCTCAGAGTCTTAAGTGGCTTCAAAAGTCACATGTTCCAAGAGAACGTTTGCTCAAATTAAGTGCTATTACAGGTTCTAGGCCAAAGAAGAGACAAACACATGGGACATGTCATAAAAAATATCTGAGAAAATCTTGTCTTTGTGGCAAATATTACAGAAAAAATGGCTAGCAGCTACAACACCTCTTTCAGGGTGTTTTCTCTTTGTCTTTTCTAGTGTCCTGCCTCATTTAAAAAGCTTTTTGGATGTTTTTCTCATTTATAGCTCATTCACCCAAGGAATTAATAGGTGAATGTCAAGCATTCCTATATAATTTACAACATCATTGACTGAATTCAGATTTTCTGAAAGTCTACAGAGATGAGAGGAAAATCAACATATGCAATGTCACAGAAACTACTGTTGTACCCCAAATGGTGCTTAACAAAAACTAGTTTTTCCTTGTGCCTATCTCTAGTTATCCATTACTTACAGATATCCCTTATTGTACAACCTGTCAATTCTAAAAACACTCTTGTTTTCCCTTTAGGAGCGCAGCAACTATACAGGTAGCATGCAGTTTGCATTCCTACACAGAGTTATAAGGTGAAAGGACAGGGGAGCAGAGTCACAAAATGTAAAGAGAGACACATTTCACAAACTTGCAGAAGTCTGTTCCAATCATATGCATATAGTGCTTCTGTTAGTATCAATGGAAATGTTTTTAATTCTTATAAGGGACAGCCAATCCCTCAATAACAGAAGCCTCACCTTTATACCCAGTTAGCGCTACAAATATGTGGTTGTCATTTTGACTTTTTGTTTTTATCTCAATAAGTCTCTTAGTCCTTTTTAGGCTTTGCATATACTCTGGTTGACCAGTGGGAATGTGGTCAAGTTATTGTAAACTGTGCAGAAGAATGAAAGGAACTGGACTGATAATGAAATGGTAGGGTGGGGTGCAATAATTTCTCCATGTGTTAAATGGAGCTATTTTCTTCTGGTCTGTTCTTGTTAGTCATGGAGACTGCAGGAGCTATGAACTCCCCGGAAATTCTAGAAAGGAAAGCAAGTCACTTTGTCTTCTACTGTATTAGTGATGTACAAAATACTTTTGAGAGTGCTACCATACTGTATTGGTGGTTAAATAAATGGTCTTGTGTAACTAATTAAAATTAAATATCCCCAAAGAGTCATTTTGAAGTTATTCTGTTGTGCCTAGTTTCCATGCACATGCACTTCATCCTAGAATATTATAGAATTCATTATATAACATTACAGAATATTCTAGCTTTTCTAAACTCATTCTTTCTAAACGTCTCAGTATTGAATAATTTAGATCTTATGGATAACTTTTTTGGAAGTATTTTTATACTTAAGATATTATACACTTGAAATATAACTTCTTAGTAACAGATGTAAAGTGAAGAATAAAACTGCCTATTCTGGCTAGGTAAGGAAATGTTTCAGAATAGTTCAGCTATAATTTTTAGGGTGAAAATAAAGCAATGGCAGGATCAGTATTTGGCCACAGTGGCAAGCAACTAGGACTTGCGAGTGCAGGACTATTGTGACTCTACAAAGACATGAAAGAGTACCATATTAAACCTTAAATACTCAGAAAGTTTCCAACCACATCTTTCAGTCATTCATCTCTTTCATAGTCACAACAGAAAAACACATTTTTCAGATTAGAAAAAGTTGAGAATTTTTGTACAAAACCTACCAATATTTGAAGCAGGTGCCATGCACAGTATTTGCCCTGTACACCATGAAGAAAAGCGTGAAAAGTAAAGAAAAGAGATATTTAATTATTAAAGCTTTACTGATAGAAATAATGTTTTACTAGAAAGATATTCATTGCAATATTAATTAATCAGCACATGCAAAACCAAGTAAATTCATACGTTTACAATTACAGTTTAAAGATCACACACCCAAGTAATCAAAGTAATTCTTGGATTCTTAGGTATAAAAATGAATATTAATTTTTCCGTAAAGGGATTGTCTCACCTTAATTACATTCTTTATTTATTTTAGACAAATACATCTTAAGTAATTTAAATCATGAAAGGGAGAATTTTATTTATTACATATTTTCAAAATATGCACCAAGATCTGGTACCAGGTGCCAATAGTTCAATTTAGAGCATTAATTTATTATCATTGCCTCTTCCGCCTTGTTACTGAGGACTTGAATATGAACATATGGCAAATAGGCTTTTCATAAAGAGGGTGCTCTCAACCTGAGGGTTTTTTAATTTGCTATTAATTAAGGGAGACAAGATTCTTTTGATATTTTGGCTTATGAATCTAGATTTTAAATTCGCCAAATCCAGCAAAAAAGTCTAAAAATGGTAAAAATTGTGTTTTTAAGTGGTACCATACAACTATTATGGTTAATAACTAGACAAAAGACTTTTTAATAGCTTCTTCCAAATTTATTAACTAATTAATTTATCAATTAACCAAAATAACTTTTAAGTCCAGGTATATACTATGCATTTAGTATGTTTATATAATTAACAAGGCCTTATAAATTAATTTTTAAATCCTGTCATTTTCTTTTCATAATAGCTTCCAAACTGGGCATTTATAATTCTGGCAAGAAAATCTACTGTACTCTATGTAGTTAATATTTTCAATTTATTCTCAAGAGAATATATGCTCATTTTTAAAGTGCTGAACCACTAGGAAAAAGTATTTTCTCTCATATATATGTACTTGAACAAAATTCTGGCTTAAATTTTTTGTTCAATTTGATACAAACTATTATGCCATTAAATATAGTTGAATGGAGGAGATAAAATATGTTGCAAAGTGTCAGGTAAATATATCAGGAAAACGACTAAATTTTTACTAATTTTTTATTTAAAAAATTTTTATTTATTGACTTGAGAGAGAGAGAAATACTGATTTTGTTCGATTTTGTTCTGGCTAGGGCTTAATGTGGCTCATCTTTTTTTTTAAAGATTTTATCTATTTAATTTTAGAGAGAAAGGAAGTGAAGGGGAAAGGAGGAGGAAACCATTAATGTGTGAGAGAAACATCAATCAGCTGCCTCTCCTACATGCCCTAACAGGGGACTGAACCCACAACCCAGGAATGTGCCCTGACCGGGAATCAAACCTTCAACCTTTCACTTTGTGGGACAACACCCATCCAACTGAGCCACAGTGGTCAGGGCTAAACATGGCTCATCTTGATTCACCTTTTTTTCAGAGGGGAGAGTCTAGAGTATGTTAAAGCAAAATCCTGACATGTCAAGAAAACTGCTCTATTTTTTATATTAACTAATTTAAGAATCAGAAGCTAGAACTACCTGAGATTATATATATATATTTTTAATGGTAGTTTATTATAACTACAGTATATCAAAGATATATTGGCTACATATTTTTGCAATGGTGAAAATGGGAAAGATTTCTTTTTTTGAGGGTAGGCCAATGTCTTTGAAAGTGATACCTAAGAGTCAAAAAATTAGTTTGAGACTGAACCAAGTGAATCAATGATAAGAATCAAAAATTAAGAAATGCTAAAAAGGAAAAATGTTAACAATGTTTTCTAGTTTGATTTCAAATCAATAATTTTCAGGAATCATAGAAACAAAGTTATTTATACATACTAGCAGGTCAAACATAAGTGACATGTTTTGTTTCCTGTCAAAACATCTGTTGATAGTCCTGGCATAAAAGTTCTTTGGAGGCTGGTGTGCACTGTATACATTCACAACATTATTACACTCGCAGTACCCAGAACCTTGTTCTCACCTGCAGGAATATATGCTGGCTGTGGAAGCTGCAGGTTAGCCAGAGCCTGTTGGCAGTGGAAAACACTGGGATTAAAGACCGGGGTGGCACCATTGGTCTTTTCAAGTGCTGATCTCTTTGGCATCAGTTGAAATGCACCAGGCTGTAGGGCCTGTGAGGGAAGGATGGATTAATAAATAGTACCAAAGAAAGTTAAGAACATACTCAAACCAAGCAAGCAGCAGTTAGATAAGGTATGGTCTGAGAACCCTCTGAAAGTGTACCCATCGAGAAAGGTAACCAATTGCAGAGATGAAGCAGTTCACTAAATGAAGACTTAGTTCAAAACAGAAAAAAAAAATACAAGAAAAAAAAAGAAGGTTTTCAGCTTCACTAATCTAGGCAAATGATAAAGGACCTCATCATTTGGGCAAGACATGACAGGAAGCTGTTATTAGCAAATAAGCATTTATACTTAACATCTCAGGGATGCTCATCTATTAATCTATGAAAATGAGATTTGAAGAGATACAGCTATAGGAAGAAAGAGAATTCTTTCAGTTAAAATTCCTATATGGATTTAGGAGATAAATGGTATATAGGAGATAAAACAGACAGTAGTTGGAGCCTGATACTGTAGCTACATAAAACAAAATCCAATTTATATAAGGACTTCAGATGCAAATTCCATAGCTGTATATCTCTCAAGTAACATGCAAAGAAAAAGGAAATAAATTATTCCTCCCCCATTACCCACCTTACCAAGGTACCATAGTTAGCAAAATCGATGCAATTCTAATTGATAGAGGCTTGTGCATTTCAGTATGTGCCATTTGCTTTGTTAAGTCCTTGTAAGGTTTAATTCTAAAATGTATTAGCATTTTAAATTCCTCCTTTCATGTTTACAATTCTTTCAATATCTCAGTGTGCTCATAATATTCAATCAAACTTGTCCTTGGATCGGCTTCATTGGAGAAGTTTGACATTACATTTTTTTTCCTCAGCAAATTGTACATTACTTAAAAAACATGCCCCTGGAAAAATAATTAGGTATGCTTCAAATTGTTACGAAGGCAGGATCACTTGTGCTGAGTAACTAAACTTTCCACACACTAAAAAGGGATATGCATGACCTCCTTACTCCTGTGGCTAAAGAAAGTGTAAAAGTATCACTATTTTCTTTGGAAAACTAAATATCAACCCTTCAAGTCTTTTTCTTTTAAATGCATACAAGATTATTTCAGTGAAGTCAACCTGAGTTATGCACACAAACATGAACAGTGTAAAAATATCTTTTACAAAGCAGAATCTGAATCCTTCAAAATGTAGAAAGCTTAAACTTCTTCATGGAAAGCATTCTTTGTTTCATCTTATTTCAGACAAATTCTTAGAGCCAATTTGACTGTAATACTAAGACTCTGCTGTGATCAGTTAGTCAGGAAGGAATATTATATTAACACTCACAAGTACCAATTGGTTGAAGGGCAACTATATAATATTTAAATTTCTACGTGGAAATTTGTGGCTGACTTATGTGCAATTTCCAAACACACCCAAATTATCAGAAATGGGTACGTGCATATGAAGACCTCATACCTGTGTGTGGGACAGGTATATAATGGCACAAGCCAACCATTCTTTACACACCGCACACATATGAAAACATTTATTTTGGGGGGCCAGCTGTATTCTTCTCTTTTATAAGAGGTCCACCATGTTTCTGTATCCTATGCCACCAACAGAAATGAAGATATAAATTCTGCATTGAACATTTTGGATACCTCATAGCTAAATAATTCCCTCGTTCAAAAGAATTTAAGATTAAAAAAACATGGTGAAGTCTCTTTTAAAAACATTCATTAACAGATTATGTTGTCCAGATCAAAGGAGAATATGTTTATTCTACTTTGGTGCTCAGCTCCTTCATGAAGTAATGGCTTCAGTTCTGAGAGAACAAGAGTATTGAGAAAGTGTAGCAAGTCCAAAACTGGTGCTGTGTTCTTAAAGCCATCATCTACCAAGAAAAGCATATAGCAAGGACTCATGGACAAAACCAAAGGGGATTAGCTGAGGGAGGGAACTAGGGAGAGGGCAAGGGAAAGTGGTGGGGGGTAGGCCGAGACAAATGTATTTGAAAAAATAAATTAAAATAAAATTTAAAAAAAAAGAAAAGCTGGGAGAAATTTGGGGTATCTGGTTTAGAGAAAAAGACATCAGAATAGGGACTAATTCTGTGTAATAAAAGTATAAGTTCCAGTTACAGCAAGGTAGATTTCAACTCATTATGAGGAAAACATTGTTAACAAATGGGGGAGGGTAAAAATAAATGTATTCCCCTTATTAAAGGTAAGGCCTCTGTCATGGGCTTCAGGATCTTGTAGGTGACTTTTTTCCACAGCTAGGAAATGTGAGGTTGCTCAGGGATTTGTCCCTCATTGGATTGTTAAACCCTATTACATGAGGAGAGACCCAAGCCAAAAAACAAACAGGAAGCAGTTTATGAAAATAATGGACAGTTGTGACAAACAAGTAATCATAACTCCTATTTCTCCATCTATCACAATGTAGTGTGGTATGCAAGCATTCTCCCTAGTTCCTACCTTTCAGTATTAACTAGAACTAACTTTTCTCCCAAACTGACTTGCTAAGACAACTCTTCTTGTCTCTTGTCCCAACCAATGCCTCCCCAGCCTCGGCTGGCTGCTTCCTTGAAACCATTTCCTCAGAAAGGTAAGGAAACTTAACCTTTGGGAAATGAGAGCCAACCTATCATCCCTTCTCTCAAGTCCTCTGCTTTTTGCAAGGCATTATGGATATTACTAGTACAGTACCCATTAAGGAGGCTCATGGCCAGAGAGGCAACTTGCTGCGTTTTTTCAAATACTAAGGTTAGTCACGCTATAAACGCTACTCACAACTAATTCACTGTTTAAATTATATAATTTTCTCTTTCTGTAAAAAGAGAAAAAGCACAGCAGATTAAAATGATCAGTAAATCTTTTAAATGATTACTTTAAAAAAATTTTAGTAAAATATAATCAATACATTCTCCATTTTTCAGCATATGACTTTGGCTATTTATATTAAGGTCCACTCATGACTATCCAAGATTACAGTTACAAGATACTAGATATGTTGAAGAACACACTAATCATTTACCCCCAAATAAACAGTCCACAATTCCTGGCTTGTTCTTACCATTGTGTTGGCAGCAGAATGGTTCATCTGGTGATGAGCTGCCTTGAGTTTGGCTTGCAAGTGTGGGGGAGGATGAAAGTACTTGCATTTCTCCCTGGAGCATCGACCTTTGATGTAATCCATGCAGATGGTCACAGTGTTATCACTTGCTTCAATCATAGAGGCATCAATAGGATGAGCATAGCGGCAATCGTTCTCACCACGGGTACAATTTCCACGCTGAAATTCTCGGCAAACCTTAAAAAAAATGACATCGATGACTTGGAAAGTGATTAGGTTTTATTTATTTTGCCAGTAAATGTAAGAGCAATAGTATATGTTATCATCTATTTAGAAAAAAAATCTAAAAAGTTGAAGGATAATGTAAAGCCATATTCACTATGAGATGTAAACACAGACACATTTTTGATTCCTAGAAAAAAATTCATTCTCTCAAAAAAAAAATTGTCTGGTTTTCTTACATTGAAATAAAAGTACTTAAAAGCATTGTTGGAAACCAATTTTTAATTTCCGCTTAATACAGCCTAAAGTGTAATTAGCTAAGTTTGCAAAAGGGAGTTATTTTGTTAAGATCAAGATGAGTCTTTATCACACAGCAATGTGCTTTTCCAGAAGCAGACTTGTGGACCATGACTGAATTACATTATGCGTACTATCAAATTCCATTATGAGACACTGCCAGGCATTTCAGGAGCTGCCAATGAAGCTTACTTTGTAAGAAATTGACTAGTTATTTACTTCAGTTTATGAAGAATGACAATTAAGAGACATTTGAAGGACTTCAATAAATCAGAAAGTTGTTTAAAATGTCTTTTAGATTTTCTTAGACATCAAGGTTATATAATATCTAGTACATTATTCTTAAAATGGAAAAAAATGTTTAGACACTATGAGACTCATTTACATTCTGCATCATAGATAGATTAGTCTACTATGAGACTAATTTTTCAGTTTGAATATTCTAGCAAGTAGAGACTCATCAACAAATACAGTAATTCCAGTCTATGAAACTGGAGCCTCAGTAAAAGCAGCATTCCCACTAGACTTCTTGTGGCTGGGTACACTAAGACATTCTTTGACCTATGCACAACTGAATCAATGCACTTAACAACAGGGTATAATTGCTGTAGTAAAATATTAAACTTTTTTTCTGAGGTTATACTCCATAAGCTAAAAACCCAGGTGCACTTATTTAAATCATTCAAAACATTGGGCTCTGAGGATGTTGTTTTTTGCATAAGATTAATATTGACTCTATAAGCATGTATATATCTTTATGCAAATACCTCCAGTTTATCTGAACGCATCACTTTTGGACCAGCAGCTCCTGGCAATGTGAGAGGTGGGTTTCCAGAAAACAGAACAGGTGCATTTGGTAAAATTTCGGCAGGAACCAGGCCCATCCCAGGATGAGGCAAGTAAGGATTGAAAGCCATGGTAGGATTAGCTGCAAGCGATGGAGTCATAGGAAAGGAAGTCTGTATGTTTGAAAGAGAAAAATTGTTAGAGGTAAATGGATTATTCTTATTAATACACAAGGAGGCATTATTTTAGAGGGCCTACACATATCAAAATTTGCCATTGTTTCTCAGATTTATTTTTAGTCTCATATTAATTCCATATAGGAGTTTCTTTTAAACCAACAAATCTCTTTGAGTAACAAATTTATTGGTAAACTGACAAAACAAGCCACATATTGTTAATAATCATGAGTTAGCCAAATTTAACTTTATTGATGGATTTTATTCCACATGTGTTTTCTTTAGCACTTCCATTTTTACCTAAAAACCATGTCACCAATGATAGCATATATATGGACAATCTGCCTTGTCTCCTTCCATAGGCATGACCTTTGCAGGCAGATTTCATGTTCTCTTGAAAACCCCCTTTGTTCCACCCTCCCCCTCCCTCTTCCCCATCAGTACTGCTTATGCTCTAATGCTGCCTGTCCTATCACAGTTCCCACCTGCCCTACGAGACACTTGTTTCTCCTAGTTCACTATTAATTGTAGAAGACAGCAATGAGTGAGGAAGAAAGGGGTAGATTTTAAAAAGTGGAGACTATAACAATTTCATGCCATCTACCTAAAACGAGATTAGTATGGTTCTTTAAAAAAAAATTAATGGTACTATTTCACAAACTACTCTGACTGTCTAGCCTTGTTTTTATCTAGGGGGCCAAATGACATCCACAGTTCAAAAGAAGGCCACAAAAATACTACAAGGATCCCTGTTAGGCAGGAAGAAATAAGATAACAAGATGATAAAGTACATAAACTGGAATATAACTTGTGAAGAAAATCTTTACAAACACAAAGGGCTCATATTGATTTTTCTATTTTTAAAAAGTCCAGTCCTGATCTCAAAGAGTTTGATATATGTATCGCCTTTATTATCTGTAACTACAGAATTGATTGCTTTACTGTGCTGTTTTCCAGGTTGTTTCACATGTGGGAGTCTTTACTTCTCAAAGTGGTTATAATTTCTTTGATAGTTCTCATCTCCCCTGTAGTACCCAATGTTTAGTGAATGACTGATTGACTGATATAATCAAAGATAAAGTTTAAAAATAAATGTAAACACTTTAATGAACTGAGAACAAATTATGGTTAAATGTGGTACATTTCTAGCAGACTTTATAAAGTAGTTAGTGCCTTGTTGTGTAACTGATAGTGTTTCATTGTGTATTACTAATAGCATGTGTACTTTCTTGCTTTCTTTTAATTTATTTCACTTAAAAATAATGAATCTTTTACACAAACAACAAATCTGTGTCCATGTCTTCTGCTAAATCACATTAACAGGAACAACTTTAACTACAAGTAGTAGACTAGGAGGTTGTGGACTATAAAGTGAGGAGAAGTATATATTCACTCCATCACCCCTAGTATGACTTGAAATTTTCACCACCACAACATTCTCTATAAAGTCTTTGTCATAAACCACATTCAACTTGGAAGGAAGGGCTTCCCCATTAACATTCTATATAAAATGAGTTTATCGGATTAGTTAATTGGCAACTGGGAAGAACAGAAAAAGAAACCCTGCCCTCCCCAAACTGGCAAGACTCACTAGGGTAAATAGGGAGGGTATGTGGGTCAAGAACTTTAAGAGGAAAGATGCAGCACCAGGTGCCAGAAAAGATGATGGAGCAGTCAAGGAAGTGCTTTTAAAATCTGAAGACAATCAGCCAAGGGCTGACCCAGCCTAATTAGGTACTATAAGAACTTATACGGACATGTCATATTTTTCATTGAATAAGATATGAAGCTCCACAAATTAGCTGATATGATATTGTCTTATATAGTGAAATAGAAATCCCTTGGAAACAGCCACACAGGCATATTTCCACAAAAGGCATACTTTATCAATTTGATGATTTATGGTTTTCTCAAAAGCAGCAAGACTCTCTAATCATAAAAACTCCATAGTTGAACCACACAACTGTACTCTTTGTTGTACTTTCTTTTTCTCTCTTTCATTATAAATTTCTCACTAAAGTCACCATCTTATTCTCCTGGATATTTTTTGCTTTTGTCTTTTACAGAACTGAAAAGGACCATTATTACATTAAAAAATATTGAATTAAAATAAAGACATGCAGGTGAGTAGATTCTCAGGTTAAAATATCACTAATTACTAATAAATACTGATCAATTAATAATAATTAAGCCTAATGTGCAATACATGTAAGCAATGCTTCCTGTTTACAGAAGCTCTGAGCTCCTGTAATTTTCCTTCTTTTTTTTCTTGGGGGTGGTTCTTGGTTAACTTTTGCTTTTTTAAATATTCATTTTAACTTTCTTAAATGTGTTACATGCTCCAAGTGTAAGAAAACAAGCTGTAAATTAAAATTCTACCTAAAAAGGGCAAGGTGCTTGCTAACAATGGTTAGAATTTTTAAAGTTTCACCATGTACTATACTGTACCATCTTTAGGTTTAAAAATGAGTATTGTGGCTTCTATAATCACTCCTTCCTCGAGTACAAACTTCGTTCTATAACACTGTTATTAGAAGAAGCAAGTTCTTCTATTTCTGACCCTGGGGCATAGGCAGGAACACCTGAGATTCTAACTTCTTTTCAGATGGACATTTCTGTTTTCTCACTACTACCTCTGCCCAGGGTAACTACTCCATTTAATGAATTTGAACACTCAAGGATTTAGTTTTGGGTAACAGCCTCCTTTTAAGCCAAGCAGCCTGAAAACTTGCACATTCAGCTTTAATAAGTAACTTTAATACTGCTTATACCTATATTGCAGCCTTACATGTCAGTTGAGTTAACAAGGAAGCATAAACTGATCTGAGGGGTAATCTTTATTTTAAAGAAAAAAGCTCTTAAGAGGTTGAATCTGATTTCCATTTATAGCCTTAAATGGTCTGGACACTTAACTACGTTTCAGATATTCACTTGAACCTAAATTATTTACTAAATATTTGAAAATATGAGAATTTTCCTCCTAAGACCAGAGCCATGGATTTTCAAATTTCTCTGAGTTTTATCAAACCAACAACAACAATGAAGGCAATTAACTTTATGTATAAAAAGATCATCCAGACAATTATTTACCTTCACTGTCTCTAGCAGGATTAGCTCCTAGAGTAGGAATTCCCACAGGTTCCCAGTGACTTACACAGTACGGAGAAACTCTAAGGGTCTTAGGAAATGCCTCTTAAAAACCAGTGAATTGTTTCTAGAATAATGGCCCCTCATCTTTTTTAGCCCTGGGTTTCTCTGAGAATCAGACCAAAGTTGTGGATCTTGTCCACAGAAAAATTCATATGTGTGCAAAATACTTCACAATGTCTCAGGAAGTTCAAGGACCTCGATGAAATTCACCTTCTGGTGTCAGATTATGGACTGACTACTTTCTGTTTAAGTGCTTGTTTTCTAGTGTAAGTTTTGTCAGACTACAACCCCTGACCCCAAATCCTGTCTGCCCTGTTTTTGTATGTCCAGAATGGTAAGAATGATTTCTACATTTTTAAATGGTTGAAAAAAAGTAAAAGATAAAAAATACTTCATAAAGCATTAAAATTATATGAAATTCATATTTCAGTGTCCATAAATGAAGTCCACTGTGATCATTAGTAGATCTGTATTACAAAAAGTTGTGGATGTTTTAGAAATACCTACATAATATCCTCAACTTTGCCTATTGTCACACAGAGCCTAACATTTTTACAATTTAGTCATTTACAGAAAAGTTTGCTGACCCTCATTCTAGAGGATTCCCCAAAAGAAAGCACTCCATAAATTTCTGAGTAAAGCGATAATTATATACATATCTATCGATATAAACTTAATACTTAGGCAAGATTCTAGGAGTTGAAAAAGTTTGGCTTTAAAAACCAGTACTAAAGTATTCACTGAAATGTTTTTTTAAATAGTCACTAACATTAGGGTTCTTAACTACTTGTTAAGGATAACTACTAAGTGATGAAGATAGATGGAATCTTATAAAAGTAAAATTGTAGGAGTCACCACATATTGGTCTTAAAGGATTCTAAAGCATCTTTGAATAATACCACTAATATAATTCAAAGAAAAACTATGCCTTGATAGATATGTCAAGTTTATACATACACTTTAGAAACATTGATTTAATACTTAAATAGTTATTATTCAAACTAGTATAAAGAAATAAAGAGTAAATGTTATGCTAAATCAATCTTTGTTTCTCCCCAATAGCCTAGATCTATTTTTAGTTACTTCAATAATATCCCAGATTAGTTACAATTATTATGGGATGAATGCAAAACACTTTGTTACTTTGGCTACTCCTGGCCTGAAATCAATATAATAATTGAGGCCTTCCATCTCTGAGGTCCTATCTAGAGGTGGATGACTAAACATTTTCTTTTATAGAATGGTAAACATTTGGTAACAATTCATTGAATCAATTTTAATACCACAAAAATAGTACTCTTAACTTTTACTAGCCCCATAATACCTTAATTTTATTGCTCATTTACAAGCATTTATATAGTATAAAAGGAAGCCTGTTTCACCATCACCACACATATTTCTATCTTTAGATTATCCCAAATCACACTGAAATGTATAATTTTAGTTTCTATCTGATCGTTCTAAATGTTCACAAGCAGCACAAATGAGTAATCTTAGTTTCACAGTTTTTGCTTGGTCATCTCTGTACTCATTGTGTGATGTTCTGCAGGGACTGAAGTGGCCAAAAGGCATGGGAGGAGGCCCACATAACCTCCTCCACTAGTTAATTGGTGCCTCGGTAATTGAGATTTAACTTTATAAACAGACACAAGGAGATAGTGATGTCTATGTACTGATCATACTTGTTAATGAATTAAGTCACTATGGCTCCAAAGAGAACTAAGAAAAAAATAAGCTCAAGGATCAAAAGTGGATACTTATTCTCACCTAGACTTGGATTTTCTGACTTTACTAATCACAGAAGTCTTCACGTAGGAGGAGGCATTGAAGATAGGCAGGTAGGGGAA